TGATGTACACGATTAGAAAGTCGATGTACAATCATAAATCTAAGAGATGGTAATAAAAAACTTTCTTTATAGGTGTTACGAATTATGTCAAATTTTCTATATGAAAACTCACCAGGAAAATCCAACGGTAATAAAGTTAAAATTTTTGTGTGTCGACATTGTAAACCAGTAAAAATTATATAACTCAGATAAAATAAAAGATGGTTAAAAAAGTTTGCAACATTGTAACAAATGTGTGAGTCAACCACTAACTTTAAATAACAGATGCAGACTGAAGACGATCAACAGATATCAATATTAGAAAGTCAAACTTTATTTACAATGGGTACATAAGCCTCATGAAGACCTTCGGTATCTGTTTGCAAATTAAGACTATTATTCTGTTTTTTAATATGAAGCATTTCAGATATTATGCGCTTTCTGTAAAAAGGTTCTTCATCCAAAATTTTAATGTTGTTCCATTGAAAATCATGATCATAATTAAGTCTATGCTCTGTTATAACGGAACGGGTAGAAGTGTTATATCTAATGTGATTGCGATGTTCTGCAATTCTAGTTTTTAATTGTCTGCTTGTCTGTCCGACGTACGACGCATCACAATCATTACACTGGATCTTATAAACAACATTATTTCTCGAAGTATGTGGACGTACATCTTTTTGAACTTTGATATATTTACGCATTTTGTTAGGACTATGGAACGATACTCTGATGTCATTATTATTAAAACGTTTAAATTTTTCTGTATGCGAAGGAATAAATGGTACCGTCAGCCAAGTAGGCGTTTTTTTGTTAACATCCTCATTGTTGGTGGTGTCCTGATTTAATGTATGATTACTTTTACTTTTATTCTTGTTCAGGTAAATTAGTCGTTGGTTGATTGTGTCAAAAATAAAAGATAAGGGATAGTCATTATTTAATAAAATGTTAATGATAAAATTTAGATTCTTTGTATGAAAATTCAAGTCAGAAAGTAAAAAAACTCTATCAACCAACGAAAAAATTGTACCTTTCTTTTGAGAAACCGGATGATTTAAAAAAAAGTTGAGAAATCTTCCTGAAAACGTGGGCTTGCGGTACCAGTCAAATGTAAAATGATTATCAATTATTGAAATCGAAGTGTCTAAAAAATCTAATTTTTTGTCTCCGATTTCCAGTGTGAACTGGAGACGAGAATGAAAGGAGTTAAACGTTTGTAATAAAGAGTCTATTTCATCCGGTAATACTGCAGTACAAATATCATCTGCATATCTAAAGTAAAATAAAATATCCAAATTACATGACATCAAGGACATCGTTTCAAGTCTTCTCATTACTAAATCTGCCACGATGGGTGACAGTGGAGAGCCCATGGGTGTACCGAAACATTGTTTGTAAATCTTCTGATTAAATAAAAAGTAAGAAGAATCTAAGATGAATTTGACAGACTCTAACAATTCATTCTTTGGCAATGAACAATTCATCGAAATAAAATTCCAATGTTCGTTTATACAATCTATGGCCATGTCTGTTGGAACATTTGTAAAAAGAGATAGTACATCTAACGAAATCAATTTGTGATGTGGTAAAGTTTTTATTGTTTTTAATTTTTCAACAAGCTGAAAACTATTTTTGATAAAACTCTCAGCTTTAGGAATAGTTTCAAAAAGAATGTTATGTAAAAATGCTGCCAAAGAGTGTAGAGTACTACCCACAGATGATACTATGATTCTTAACGGACAATTAGTTTTACGGATTTTCGGTAAACCATAGGCTCTCGCAAGCGATCCATCACTGCAATACAACGATCTATATTCTGGCATATCAATATATTCATTGTTTCTCCATCTGGTAAGCATAACTCTCAGAGTCGTAGTAAGTTTTTTAGTAGGGTCTTTATTTACAACTGTGTACGTGTTAATAACGGAGTCATCTTGTTTTGCGCAAACTTTACACCACTTTGCAGCAATTGCGATGTCTTTCGGAAATGAAAAATATTGCACCTTTTTTTCAGGCATATTGTTCGTTTTCCGAAAATGGTTCGTGCATCCTTTTACTGCACAGCTCATTTTTTTCTTCGCAATGAGAAGTCACAATACTCACTAATATGTACGTATAAACACAACACGTTATCCATATAGCCTGTGTATAGCGGCCATATTTCACGAACACGAACCGCTTCGGAAATAGCCGAAGCTGGCCGAATATGATGTATGCTTGTTGCCTGCGCAGTGGTCTACCACCGGACGAGCATACCCTTACCCAACTAGCAAGCTCACGTGATAATGACGTTATTATGAAATGATTTTGATGACAATACCGTCAAGTGACATTAATGGAACGTTATTTTGACGTCATTTGTAATACCAAAAGTTGACGTCACCGATATGACGTCAACTAGATGTTACATTAACGTCATATATATGACTATTACTAATTAATTATTTTTTGTTATTATTTGTGTATTATTATTTGATGTATCATTTTATCCTTTAATATTCGATGAAAAACAAGGATAAAATGATATGTCATGCACATTACACTTACGGAAATGATACATATACTAATACATACACTATCATATAAACACATAAACCATCTGTTTTCAATATTTCCATTGAACAGATATATCACAATTATACAGACATTGACATACAGATTCGTGGGTCATCGAAGTACAGCAGTTCCCGTACGATTGTCAAGGTTAAGCATGCGAGGTCGTGGTACAACTTCGGATGGGTGACCGTTTGGGATGCATCATGAAAAAAAATTAATTCTCGAATTTAGAGAAAATTTTTTTTTCTGTAATTAGGGTATTTTACTTAAATTTCTATACGAAGCATATACGAATTTACTACTCCATTATTGCACTAGTAGTGACACTAATAGTACTTTTTAGTCATATTTACGTCTCCCTGACGTAATAAAATAACGTCAATAAGATGTGACATAATCACGTGATATATACGTCAGAATAACGTTACTTTTATGTCATAATTGACGTTATTTGTACCAAAAATTCACGTCATTATCACGTGACCTTGCTAGCTGGGATTGTCTTTATACCATGAGGATAATATTGAGATAACTATCAAATATAAAGTTATATACTGACAGATTGGATTCAGGTCTTTTCTTTCAAAATCTATAATTAAAATACAACACATATAATCAGTTCTTTTTTAACAAATTTTATATAGAGAACAGAGAAAACAGGTTAATAGATATATTATAAAACTTATCTGATACGATATCGAAGAGATGTTTTAATAATTTCACGATAATTCCACGAACCAGAAACGTGCTTGGTGATTTCAAAATGTGTGAATGTAACAAAGAGATGCCGAGCCACCAATCACGTCAGATTGCGTTAAATCGAGAAGATTCAAATCTTCACTTCCTACTGCATTGCGTACACTCTTAATTAAAACTTTTTAATAATCCGGCATACGAAAGGATATTGCAACTTTAATAAATTATTTCATATTTTATAAAATAATCAGATAAATGATCAGAAAATTTATTTATTTTAATCTCACTTACATGTTTTTATATGCCATCGATGTGACAAATTTCCTAACCTGTATTTATGCTCGTAGCATTTTCGAACGCAAGCACTGTCGTTGTGCAGGTTTCATACCATATGTAAAATATCTGCGCAACGACCTTAGCTTGTAGAATTGTCTTTAAAAAGTTATACAGATATTCTAACCTCACTTAGGTATTCGTCTATGCCATCGATGAGACAAATTTCCTAACCTCAATCCTTTGTTATTGTCGAGATTCAATCCGACTTTATCGATCTTACAGATCGCAGCGATCGATATTATAG